GCGCCAACTTAGTTACGCCACTGATACGTTGTTTAGTTGAGGAGTGTTGCTAGAGACACTCATATACCACCGCCTCCCGGCTCTGGAAATTGTCTTGCCACAATTTTCGGTGTAAATTTATTCCAGAGAGGCATAGATGTCATTAGTGATGAACAAATTTACACAGCGTGCACGGTCATATCCTGACGCACGCACTGACTGTTATGTTTGCAGACAAATTAACGGCCAATTACACGCCATTAAGATTTGGGAAACACATTTAAGTCACATTTGCGTTAATGTTCCTTGGGTGCTGAGGGGAAAAAATGCACTTAGTTTTGGCCTTGTCTCTCTTTCTCTGTAATTTTAAAGATGTTCTGTGTCAGTCTTGATGAGTGAGCCAGGGGTTGCATGTTTTACGCGTCGCCATGCAGTGATAGTAAATTCGATTGAACAATAAAGGGAATACGTGATTGGCCGGTTTTAAACAAGTACGTTTAAAGCTGGCTGTAGGGGCCTCAGTTGCCGATAATAGCCCGAGCCGGTGGGAAGGTCATATCCGCGTACAGGCCCCTAGCTAGCCGGTTTAAAACGTACTTGTTTAAAACCGGCCAAGCACATAATTTCGTCCCATTCATGAATACATTTTTTTGTGAATAGGTCAAAATAAGTCATCAAAATGACAACATTCCAACGCTTTTGTTTGACAATTTTACTTCATAATATAATGATGTATGTTCTGGAACATCCAGTATTGTAAGATGACCAGCCCACCGGGTATACAAAGTCCGTTGGTTTGGAGGCAACAACGCAAGTTACAAATGTTTTTTTTTAACATCCCGCTGGCAAAGTGTATGGTATGTGCCTCGCCCATGAAGTGCTAAAAATTGCCTTATAATATGGAGATTGTCGCGCGCGGCTTGTACTGCGCGCGATGTAGCGCATAACGAAGCGGTGTTTGATGGGTAAACCATATATATAGAATAAAAAAGACTAGATCGGCAGCGCGTGCATGCGCAGGGCCTTGCCTGGAGGGTCACGTACTGGAGGAAAGATACAAATTGCGCGCTAGACGTGACGAACGCAACGCCGTTTACGCGCACATTGCGAGTTTATTTTCTGTTACTTGAGACCTTCAATGCTAATAATTATACACAAGAGAAAAAATAAGATAACATCGTTCCCATAATGTTGAAACCCCAGTCTACTCTTGTTTATTTCAATCAGTATCTCTTGAGCATGGATGCTTATGATTTTGACTAGGGCCTACTTAGCAAAATTGGTTGTCTTAAAACAGGTTTACTTTGCAGAAAGTAAACTAATTATCCCGTAGCCGAAATGAAAAGCGGCACGCCAACGTGTTAGCGTAAATACTCGGTGCGCATTTCTAGCTTCGCGCGCGTTGAGCTAGGTCACGTGCTGGAGGAAAGATACATTTAGCCACTGATCTCTTTATATATAGATCTGTGCATTTAGCTCCATTACTTTACGTTAATTGGCGGAGATTTATCGCAATGGCGGAGATTTATCGCACTGTGAATGGGCGCGTGTGGACGCGCTGCCGATCTAGTCTTTTTGTTCTATATCTATGGGGTAAACTGTCTCAGGTATTTAAAGCTATAGTCCATCATTTGCAGCCATCCGAAAAAGTAACTGGCGTATTATTGTTGAAAAACATACTTGGTTGAAAGATACTAAGTGGACTAAACTCCCTGTGAAATTAATCTTTCTGGCAAGCTATCATTTTGAAGTAATCAACGAAAGAAGGCCTTTCCAACGGTGCGTCTTAAGACGCACCGTACGAAAATTTAAATTAGTAGTTCGTTTTGTTATTCGGCGCATCGCGCGCAAGCATTGGCACGACGCACAGGCGCGCGCGGTTGCTATAATTCGTCGGATCAGTGCATGACATCGCGTATACACCTACTGCAATTCAAAACAATTCAAAACATGATTCAGCAACCTTTGATTTGAAATTGAGATCCTAGAATGCGTTTTTTTTTTGAATATACAGCTGAAGCTGAGCTGAATCTTCATCAGGTTAGTTTGTTCAGTATCTTTCATTAGATTTTGAATACTTTTGTTGCTTCAAACGAATAAAATGCACAAAATACAAATGATGGACTATATCTTTAAGAATGCAGTTTAACATCAGAATGATGTCCATTTTGTGCCCAAATACTTTTTTGTGTCCAAACTCGTGATGGCACTCAGGCCGGCTCCACATGTTCCCATGACAAAGATGCCCACAACGTCTGACATGACAGAAATGAGATCGTTTTATGCTCCACTCTCTAAATTCCAAACAATGAAATTAGGGACTAGACGTTTTAGAGTAAAAATCACACTCATTTCCGATGAAAAAACCCGATTTTTACGATTGAAGAAATTTCACTCTAAAACGTCTAGTCCCTAGTTTCCAACTGGGAGGGTGAATGTTCATTCGAATGGAGTGAATTTTCACTCTTCGGCATTTAGAGAGTAACATAAAAATTGCAAAGCTTTTTAATTCCATCTTGTTTTGGGTTTCATGAAAATTTAAACGGATTACAGAGTGCAGAGTTGAAAACCATTTTCATTCAAAGAACTGTATACAATTATCTGATTCTTTATCCCGAAGAGAAATGCATTGTCGATTTTGTTGTACGCATGCGCATTTGGAATATTGAAATGGTTTATTGTAAGCCAAAAAACAAATTTGATTAGTCTCAAATTTCCGGCAACGTTCGATTTTGTCTGTAAAATACACAATTGCACCTTCATTGGATGGAGTTTGGAGAGATCATACAATAAAGGCCTAGACAATTTAATTTGCGAATATTAGGCCTACTTCCTGACAGCTCCGACATCGTGCCCAGAGCTGCGACGCAAAAAAAGTACCACTAATGAGTCTTGCCACGCCATGAGATGACGTGAAGATACGACACATTGCGAACATTAAGTAAAGTTTTTATAAGAGAATGTCAGTAATGTTTACTTGGTATTGCAATGTGTATCTTCCGTATAGACTGTTTAGCAACAGCAAACAGAAACCAACCCCAAAAAACCCCATCACTGGCGACGGTTGAAGTTGTAAACGTGCCAGCCTCGTATTGTCCTACACGAACCGAACATTATTCTCGGGTTTCCGTGTAAATTTCCCGTCAAGTTTAACCAGCAATTAGTAATTCCAATGAACTAATTATAACATCGTTGGTCTAACCAGAGGGTCGAAATGGCCAAACAAACAAAATGTTTGTATTTTGTAATTTCAGTCAAGTTAGCTTTTGACGATGACGACTGAAAAAAAACCCAAATATCTGAAGAACATGATCAAACGAACGAACGAAAAGAACCACAGTTTCAAGATGACGAAGTTGAACGATGATAGTAATTTTCCATTTTGGTAAAACTCGCTACTGTGTATCAGCATCATTGTCTTTCAAAACAAAGTTATCAATTGAACCCTTCATGTTTTGGAAGTAACGCTTTCAAGTCTAATTGACAAATTGGGGAACCGCCAACATAGGCCGGATAGTTGATAGAGCACTGGAACGGTAATCCATACTCGCAGGTTCAAACCCCGCTCCAGTCGATTCTTTGTTGAACTTCGAAATAGTCATCAATGGACACAAAGATTAAAGCAGTGTTAATAACAGAATTTAATTGATAAATGTACACTAAGAATATCATCAGCGTGACTTTAATGTTGTTTTAGTTGACCATAACAAGTGTTGTTCTTCTGCACGAAACCAAAAATGTGAATCTTTTTTCGATAAGAGGCAAACACCGGGTTTTGATATTAAATTTTAAGACCTTATTCCCTGGATACCCACCACAGAGTTATTAAGTCTAGAAATCTTTTTCTTTCCAATTTTTTGTTGTTGACAGATACATGAGGATATTGACGGCACGAACTCCACGTTAATAATTAAAGAGCAGCTCCGCATCAACTACAAGTCAATTGAGAAACTTTCCTTCAACAAACAGCTGGTAATTAAGATCCCACACCGTGAATTGGCGACAGGTTTTTACACCGGTTACAGAAATTAGATTGTTTCTAAGTAAAAAAAAACCCTGCTTTTCTTTACGGCTACTTCACTGGATGCACCGCTGAGTGTTTGGCAGCACCACTCAGTTCAACACAATGGCTGATATATTAAGAGCGTAAAGGTCATCGTTCAATTGTCAATTGCATGAACAGTCTGCTATTAAATTGATCGATTCGAGTCCTCTTGATCGACTGGACTACTCGAGCACTACTTGAACCAAATAATCACACGGCTAGTCTACCAAGAAGTGGAACCAACATCGCTATTGCATGTTCTAGACTCAGATTTCAGGAACAAAAGTCCGGGCAGCCAAAGGGCGGACGGGAACATTGTCGCAAACGGCGAACAAGCCTTCGGAATCGACTGTTTTTTTTAAACCGCCTTCAAGCAGATACGAATAAGTCAAATTCAAAGAATCGATACTTTCTTTCAATCTCCTAACTTCGGAACCTGAACTTTAAAAAGATGTATTCGCGTTCATCATCTCCTTTTGCGGTTTCATTATCAAATAAAACCCGTGCCACCTGAGACAGAATCTACGACTGATAATTCAACTATGGACTAATCATAAATTAAATGATGCTGGAGTGGAGACTAGACTCCTCAGAGAATTCGCCGCAAACAGTGTGCTACTTGAAGCGAGACTAACACCACACACAGCTGCAAAGTGCGCCTCTTTGTACAACGATTCTGACTTCGATTAGGCCACCGCTTTGAAGCACCGATCTCCAATACACGAGAAGCCATCACTGTGTCCCTTGTGAGACGTGTACTCACGCGATTTACAACGAGCTCGAAAGATCACATAAGAACACGACGTTAGCCAAAAAATCCTTACCTATCAGGACTTCCATTCATAAGCAAGCTACCGCTACTAATAACACTTGAAGAGGTGGCAGTGACGAACACGTCTAAGTGGTAACTTTAATCCGTATTGAAACTGATTTCATATTGTTGGAACATCAACATACTCTTAGATCACCAGTTACTCTGAACCGATCACGTCATGGAAGAGAACACAACTTTCTCAACGGAGACATCAGTCGCCATGGAAACTACTGATCAACCAGAGTCCTCCCTGTCTACCATTTCTGACGGCTCCCCAGATGAGTACGCATTGAATGTCGTCTATGGTATCATTGGATGTCTCGGTATCCTAGGTAACGGCTTAGTGTGTACTGTTTTCCTGATGAGACGTAAGGTGTTCGGATCCTCCACTAACCTCCTCATCCTGAACCAGTCCATGATTGATTTGGTTGACTCGATCCTGACTCTCATTCTTCGATTCGGCCCCCACATGTCTGATCAGAAGCACGACATTTGGGGCGAGTTGGCCTGTCGGATATGGTTCTCCGAGTACATCATCTGGTCTCTGTTTGTCGCCTCGACGGTCAATCTTCTCTTTGTGTCCCTGGAGAGATACTTCGCCATTTGTCACGCCGTCAAACACCGCAAACTGTTCACTCCACGTCGCGCTAACATCGGCCGCGTCATCGTCTGGATCGTCGGATTCCTCTACCAATCCTACTGGGCTGCCTTGCACACGTTCTCCCACGAAGGATGCTACCCTTACTGGCCCAGCCCGACAATCCAAAAAATCGGCGGTGTGTTCTTCTTCTGCTGCGAGTACCTGATCCCTCTCTCCATCATGTCCTTCAGCTACGCCAGTATCGTCATCATGCTGCGTAAGAAGAGCAACAGCACGACACACGCGAACACGTTCCATCGCGCCAAACGCAACGTCACGCTGACACTGTGCATGGTGTTTCTGTCCTACACCGCCTGCTGGACGCCTACAGAGATCGCCTACATCAGGTACAATCTGGGAGGAGAGTACGACTTCGAAAGCACCTTACATCGGATTTTTACCGCCTTGGTGCTTGGTAACATGTGCGTGAATCCGATCATATACACTTTCAAGTATGAACGGTTCCAGGTGGAACTGAAGAGGATCGTCCTGCGAAGGAACCGGGTGGGCGATTCCAATATCATCGACGTCACGGCTCGAACCCAAGCTGGGTCGGATCAAGAGGGACCAAGCGTCATGCGCTAAGATCACAGATCCTTATCTGACTGAAACCATGGACAGAGAAAATAGTGTAAGACCAAAGTTTTTGCTAAGCACAACACAGAAGATGTGCTCTGCTCGTAATACGATTTCTTCGATCCGTATTTTTTGTTGTTGACAACTAGAAAGTAATCAGAGAGCGCAAACCTCCGCCAAGGCTGAACCATTACCCGCCATATTGTCAGTACACCCAAAAGCACATTTTCTGAATTTATCGAAAATGTTGGCAGCTTTCCGCTAATCCGTCCTGGCATGTTGTTTAAGCCGTAGTATGCCGTGAGGCGTTATGATCCCGGCGTCAAGGGGTTAATGTGGAGTTGACAGCAGAATTGAGGAATTTTGCCCATCTCCCAAAGGTGAAGAATCCTTTTTAAAAAATCATGCAACCAGACCGAATCCGGATCACTTCCAAAATCTAATCGATTTGTACTTCTACCAAGGACCACCCCTACAAAAAAATTCAGGAAAATCCGTTCATAACTTTTTGAGTTATCTTGTTAACACACAAAAAAAAACCAACCAACAAACAAATCAACGCCGGTGAAAACATAACCTCCTTGGTGGAGGTAACAATAGATAAAGAGGGTACATTGAAGAAACGGTTAGAACAAGTTTAAACATTTTGAACAAAGGTAGTCAAAACTGTTCCATACAGGGAGATTTTGTGCATGTGTTCTGTGCACGTTGACATGACAACCCAGACGACGCACGGACAAAGACCCGACTGCTTCTGAAAAATCATTACAACATTTAAGAATATGTCGAAGTGGTTCAGATTATCATTAACTGCAAATTGTAAATGGTGTCACATGAAATTTTGACTCTGGTCACTTTTACTTTGTATGGACGCTTACCCTCACACGTGACCTGTCACTGTCCTTATATAGAGTCTGAAAATTGCTCCCTGGTGGCGCGCTTCTGGACCCCTCGAATAGGAAAATTAGCGTGTAAAAGTCGGAGTTTTTAAAAATTATATTTGGTACAATGATTTCTTAAGAAAAGCACCCTCGGAAAAGGCCTTTGTGACATTGTTACTAGCATCTCAATTTATAGAAGCTGAACAATCGCATGACGTGAAAGAAATATCGTGCCAAAAATTGACCTCTCACTTCCGAAAATGTAAATTACATGAAAAAAAGGGGAACTCGGAGAACTCGTACAAAGATGAAACTTTATAAAATAATGTTGTGGCGGTCATTGGGTAAAAACTGAAGCTTAAATAGGAGACTAAAATGTCTTTTGGGACACGCAATTTTTTTGTAATAAACTTGAAGGACTAACTCTCAATTACAAACAAATCTAAAATGACCGTGGATAAGAACTGTATTCAAGCAAGCCTGACTAAATCTAGAATCCATCGGGTGTAGGTAGGTAAATCTTCGACTCGTTATAATTTTCGTTTTCATGCAAGTACGCGATGTGAAAACAAACGTGATCGAACAAGGAGACCTAGGTACGAAAATCCGGATGTGAAAGGTCGTAAGTAAAATCGTTTGTACACATCTCCAGCTGATTTCTCATCATTTTTTCTTGTGGAATGCCAAGATAAAAGTCCAACATGACTGTTTCTTGGGGTGATTAAAATATAACAAGAGAAAGAGCAACCCCGTATAAAATGCCCATAGAAGGGTCACGGAGGGGTCCGGAAGCTGAAAGAAAAAATGGCGTACTAAGGTATGCGCAATACTAAGGCATACAATTCAAATTCTACGCTACTAAACGGATTACTACCATTGATTTAGTGTAACGTGAAATTGTTAGTGTAACGTCAAATTGTATGTTATTGTGCTTAGTCTTGCGGTATGCACCCGACAGTTACTATATAGTGGAATCTTTGCCAATTTTTTTTAATTGTAAGGCTGATCATTTTCAGTGCAATAAACTCGTACATTTATTTCAAGTACGTAGAAAGCAGAGTTGTTTGGGGCTATGGTGAAACTGTAGGGCGCCCTCAACCAAGACAAGTCAATGCAAATGGCTCAATTTTGTCAAGCATGTTGTAGAAATTCCAAGTGTTTTCAATGTTTATAATCGCATTAATTTGTTGAGAGTGATTTAGAATCGACAGTTCAGATTAATTAATTAAAAATTGTAGCTTAAATATAGTTATATTTTAGGTAAGTGTGGTCATTGTACTCGTTAGAACACCAGAGGGCGCTTTTAGTTTTGTTTCTTGTCGCATGCACCCGACTCCTGTTCTGGAATTATGCACATTGTAACCGTATCAAAGATGCTGTTAATAAATAAAACAAAGTTGTCTATTTATTTGAGTTGTTCTATGGTTTGTTTTAACATTTTTCTTTTAATAAATTTGTTTTGTTTTGTGTTTATAATGTGCTTTCGTTTTTTCTATGTTTTTGTTTATATACAGGTGTATCAAAAAGAAATATACACTCAGAAAAATGTCCCTAAAATGAAAAAAAACCAACTATTTTTGGAATATCGCTCCATACATATGGGTTGATATACCTTTCAGAATTTAAATGACACCATAATCATTCTGGCACTTTCATGCATGACTGTTCGGGGGCTACATTTGCAAACTTTTTGAAAAACGGCTTGCGCACACAAAATGCGGTGTTTTAACTGGATCAAAGGCAATAAGAGACAAATCCAACATGTGACTTTTTTAATCACAAAGACCTGTAAAAAAATCACAAACTTTTCATATGTAACCCCTGACAGTCATGCATAAAAGTGCCACAGTGATCATGGGTTCATTTAAAGCCTAGGTTTATCTACCCATATGTATGAAGCGATATTCCATAAATGTTAAGTTTTCATTTTGGGGACATTTTTCTAAGTGAAAACTTCTTTTTGATACACTCTGTAGATCTTTTTCAGCAAAGTTGCAAAAGACACTTTTTTTCCTGCGATTAATCCAGGTTTTAACCGTAGGCCTATAATGGAATCAATTTATAGCGATAGGCGATTTCGTGTCTTTTGTATAACTGAAAAATTTTCAACGATGAAAAAATATAAACCAACGAGCGTCACATTTTGGCAGACAGTCTCAAGATATTATTTAACCATCGTACGTCTCTTTCAAGCAAATGTCTCCCGTTAGTTTATCAAGCATGAAGTCTCCCTGAAGCAATTTTTAAAAAGTTGTCGACAAAATGCGAGAATGGAAAATTGAGAACAAATCGATGGATGTGAGCGGGGAAGAAAAAGCACCAGATGATGCTGCCGTCGGCAATGACGGCTGGTTTTGCGTCTACGAATACTGCAGGCTATTATAGCTCTTGTTAATTGAAGTCACTCGAGAATGTCTGTAGGCCTATAGGAAAAACAATTAAACTTAAAAATAGCCCAAATGTGCAGCGGTCAGCCTTGTAGTAACCAAGTTAACGGTTGATGGTCGGAGGTGATGACTGCCGCAACGCATTTTCAATTGAATCAGTACTGAGTGACAAAATTTCACCCAGAATGTAAAATGTTAATATATTTGGTTGAAGCCTGCAAGTGTATTTTGAGCTATTGAGATACAGTTTCATGCTACACCTGTGTTGAGATTCACGTGGTGCAAAGACTGTTATAAATAATAATGATAACCGTATTTATATAGCACCTTTTCCAAAGATACAAGGCGCTGGGGGAGAATGCAACCACAGACAGGTAAATGAAGTATATGAACATATGAGACCCATTATGTAGCACCTTTTTGCTAGGTGCTGCGGCGCATATTGCTGCCACTGCCAGAAACACCGGGGCAAACCCCTTCTATTAGCGACATGTGTACACTGGGATCTTTAACGTGCATTACACAACACACGAGATCTACGGCTTTACGTCCCATCCGAAGGACGAAGCAATAATGGTAAAGTGCCTTGCTCAAGAGCACAAGCACCATGTGGATTCGATCAGGATTCGATCAGGATTCGAACCCGTGTACCAAGGCACACGAGTCGAACACCGTAACCATTGCACCACAGCGCCCCACAATCAGAACGTAATTAATGCGGCTACACATTACTTGTTAAAGATGTAGGGCATATTCCTCCTGCTATTTTAGAGTTGCACCTCGAAAATAGATTTGTTTTTGTTTTCAATTGCTATTTTTTTGTTTTAAATATCAAAGTTATTCGCTTTTGAATGAGACACTGAACGAAACAAATCCAACGACGTTAAGCTGTTGAACTATTTCGTCACCAAAATCGAATTATTGGCTGCCAGAGAACATGACGGTTCGTTTCTGCGCAAAATGATGTCCTTTTTCAGAGGGTTGCAGACGCCCCAAATCGGATTTTTTTTTTTTTTTAACAAAACATACAAATTGAAAATTCGTTAGGAGAAAAACAAGCTATTTTTAATGAGCACGGGGTACTCCCCTTTAAACATACCTTAGTTTGAAAATCCCTCGCCAAGATACATTTCACTAGCTTACAACACATTTAAAAAAAAAAAAATGGAACACGTTTTTAAGTCCATGTTTTGCGTTCAATTCGATTGCTAGTACCGCTATCATTATTTGCCATGGTTCAACGATGGGGTATAATTGTTGGTGATACACCATCGTAAGAAGAGTTCATTTTCAAAACGCGATAAGCGCCATTTTGTTATCTTTTAGAAGCCCACCCTCCCCTGGCTGCCCAAAATATCAGTTTCGAAAGATTTTATGAAGTTAAATACAACTTTTACTACAGCGAAAAGTGAGGCTTAGAAGCAGCTGCCCTGCTGTTTTGATTCTTGAAAGTTTCATCATGGAACTCGTGGAAAATGTCCCCTTTTTCAAATGAATATATCGCGTCGGTTTGAAGTAAACTGAGATGACACGGATCAGTGGCGCACCCAGGATTCTGGTGGGGGGGGGGGGCTCACAATTTTGTTTTCAAATTTTTTTAGAAGTTCCCAAAATTTTTGCCGTAATTTTTTTTTTTTTTGTGGAGGGACAGACTATTTTGACATCGGTGGCGCCACTTACATCCCTATTATACTATTCGAAAATAGGCCACATACATATCACAAGGTCAAATCGTGGGACTAAAAAAAAAAAAAAAAAGAATAACAAAATGACAACCTGGAGGGGGGGGGGGGGCTAGGATCGGGGAGGGGTGCTTTTAGTTACCCCCCCCCCCTCCAGCGTGCCCAGGTTCTGTGTCGGGGGGGGGGGGGGGGTCGGCAGACCCTCCGTGCTTCCACGTAG